TAACTCTTCAAGTCACTCTTTTGATTTATAATCAGGATATCCCTTTTAATTGTTAAAACATCAGCCAGCATAGTTTGTATATCCATTACAATTTTTTTTTCCATGTCACTCTTGTAGTCAAATATTTTAAAGTCCATTTTCAAATCCACAACATCTTTTTCCATATATTCCATATCTCTTTTATAGTCTGGCAATTCTTTACAGTCCATTTTTAAAATCCATATTCAAATCATCCTCAGCTTCAGTTTTATCCAGTAGAATCTTTTCTTCTATAACCTCTGTTAGATCCAGTTTTAAAAATAAACCCTGAACACATTGTTCCCAAATAGATTTAAATTCTTCCATAGTAAAAAATGTTCCTCCATTATGTTAGGAAGTATCTTTTCCTTTAATTGCTCTCTGGTTCCCTCTAGTTAACCTTCAAATCCCAGTCTTGTGTTTTGTTTGTTTTCAGAGCCAGAACTTTCCTACAATAAGTTTTCTTACAGTTAATTCCAAAACCATCTGCTGTACTTTTATAAAATTTAAAACAGTCCATAGAAAACTCTTATTTTAAATCCATCTGCCCCTTAACTGTCCACAGCCAGTATTCTTAACTCACTTTCGCTGTTTTCTAAAAGTTAACTTTTTTCTTTTTAATCTTTAAACTTATTTAAGTCTTCTTTCTCCCAGGATAGAAGGAAATTCTTCCAGTGTACAGCACTTGCCTTTCAGAAGTTTTTAATTTCCAAGTAAATTGCTAATAAGTAATTTCCGATGATAATTAAAAGAAGAAGTGAAAGGAAATCTAGTGCTCTTTGGAGGCTCCAAACTACAGCTTAATGTTTCCCATGACTCCCAGAGCACTCAACCTGCTGGAGATCTCTAAATTGTGATCTCTTCACAGGGAGCCTCTGTAAGGAATACTTATGGGTGATCCGGTCATCTCCTTTGTCCAGAGATGGTTTTGAAGAGCTGGACTTTTCTCTGGTCCTCTTAACTGCCACGGTTGTTGGCTCTGCAAAAATAGAGCCCTCTTCAATCCTCCATTACTCCCCCAGTTTGCACGTTATACTAAGCAGTTGTTTACCTGGTTATGCTAGTAAGAGGAACAGAGATGAATGGAACAAAGGAACAAAGTAGAGAGTACATGTAGCACTGTCACAACACATCTGGATGTGTCCGTCATTATTTAGAATTCTCTGTGAATGTCAGTATGTCTAGGATAGTGAAGAATTCTCTTTGTTCGGTATTTATTTTATAGTACATAAGAGTTTTAAATTCAATCCTTTGTTGAAAATTCAGTAGTAAGGACTTCAGACTTGTAGAATGAAGGAAGAAATAAGGGGATAGATGTAGCTACACCTATTAAAGCATTTTTATGCCAAAGAAAATTGGCTTAAAATTCATGCTCATAGGATGTTCATCGCAAACACGTACACTAATCTACTAGAACCTTCTCTAGGATCTTCACCCTCACTCGCTTTCAATCTGAGTTCCAGGATGCCTGGATGTGGCTGTAGAAATAGCATTCTGCAAATTACCATAATTTATATAGGGAAATGTGCATAATCAGTGATGTGGGGTTGAAAATTGTACATAAAAATGTAAAGCACAAAGCAGAATTATTATGCACATAGACACATGTGGGAACAGCTGAACCTTCTAAGCAATGCAGCTAACAGCATCTCTTCTGAATGCTTTCCATAATCCTGCCATCAGTCACCCAACCTAGGAGAAGATAAGAATTAAGCTTTCTGAAAACAGCTTGCAGATCTTTCAAGAAGATATTAAATAGTAGTGTTGTGATATTTTAATTATCCAACATCTGCCAAACATGATCCCTTCAATAAATTCTGGTCTGGCTGACAGCTTTTCTTCACAGAATGAAAGCAGGAACAAGAGTATTGTCTATTCTTAATTTAATATTAACCATTAGGAAAGTCTTACTTGATGAAGTGGAAATAGCAGGAATATTGGGTTAAATTTTGAGGCTATTACCAAAACCAGGAACAGAGGGAAATTATATCTCTGTCCAAAGAAAAATAACTCCTAGCATAGTGCAGACAGGGGAAGCGTTATGCAAAAAATGCAAACATTGGGTATTATAAATAAAACTTAAAATTGGTTCTCAGCAATTGCAGTTTTTTTGTTTTTAATAGTGGTCTCTTTTCTGCAATAAATTGCTTATCAGAAGTTCCTGGATTCTTGCCTCTATAGTATCAACTCATTGGGCTAGGGAGAAGCATGATGCTTTGAACAGATTCTGTAAAAATTAGTGAGAATGGTAACACTGGGGATTCTACCCCACCCACCCAAAAAAGTGTCACATAAAATGGTTTATAATTTTTATGCTGAATTTGAATATGTTTTCAGAATTTGTCTATCAGGCTAGACTGAGTGACATACAGCTTTACTTTGATAGTAGCCTATATTTACAAGTTAATTAAAGCACAAAGGTGTTACTTAAATGGAAGCATTGTTTGATTTTCTACTGAATTTCATTTCAGGAATATCTTTCTTAAGGGTCCAGCAGTAGTTAGCCAATATACTGGGACTCCACCTGCCTTGATACCACTTTTCCATGTTTTTCAAATGTGCTGGTGAAATTGCTCCCTGTGCCCATCACCAAGGCTGTCATGGAAAAAAATCCAAGTGAGAGTCTAAGAGTAACATGTTATATCCCATAGCTTGGTACAACTTCAGGAGATCACTCACTATTTTGCTATAGTTTCATTTTTTTATGATTTCTCAAAAATGTTTTTGCAGACGCTTTTGAATGATTGCCATGCAGCCATTTCAGCTTCACTTAATGCTTCATCAAACTAACATGTTTACAAAACACTAGTTCATCTTCTTAGATGAAGAGTTCATTAAGTTCATTACCATTGTGCTAGTTAGGCAGAAATAACAATAACAATCTGATGAATAGTCTTTTGGCTCTCTCCGAACCATAGGAATGGCAAGCGCCAAATGGCGTGAACCCTTTAAGCATCCTGTTGGAAGTCTAATGGGGATGTGATGGGCCCCATTTCTTACCTTGGTCATCTACTTCACAACCAAAATAAAGTTCATAGCATTTTTTTGACAAGTGAGTGAAGTTTTGTTTCTGAGATTTAAATGTTAACTCACCACACGAATAGCACAAAGTATCAGGATGATTTCCAGAATTTTGTGGCCATACTAATAGTATGTGGGTATGCACAATACTATTACAATCAATGTAATATTTAACTTGAATACAGAGAATATACATTTAAATTGTTTATGCTGTGAGGGCTGACACCAGACTGACAAAGAACTGCTCTCCAGGCAGCGCTGGGCTCATGTGTAAACATGTCCAAACATGACTCGACCTGCAGAGTGTGCAGTTCTGTTCTAGCTGTCATGCCTTTTACCTTTGTCTTGAGGTTATCTATGCTGGAGAACCAAAATAACTAGATTTTGCTCAGTGATTGTTACAATTATGCTACTATAGTTAAAATATACTAGTCTGATGTCACTAATTGAACAGAATAACAAAGATGGAGTCACAAGAAAACAGTCTGGTAGAAAAAAGAAATCTGATTTCATGTTTGAATTCAGCATAAAGCAGCTTGCTTAGAACACCTGTTATAATCCATGATACAAAATTATTGTTGACCAGTGTGATGAGGCTAGAAATTATATCCCATGAGGAGGGATTAAGGTAACCAGTCACACTTAGCCTTGAGAAGAGAAAACCAAATGGAAATATGGTTGAACTTTGCAAATAGCTGAAGGGAGTAACACAGAAAAAGGCCAAATTCTCTTTTATCATTCCAGGGTTAAAGGATAATACATTTAAGCTACAAGACTGCAACTGCAGAGTCTTCCAAATGGCAAGATAAATTGCCATTTATAAAAAATACTGAGTTTCTCAATATTATAGGTATAATCATAGTGTTGACTGCATGAGCATCCTTCTCTCTGTCTTTGTAATCAAGTGCACTAAAGATGAGGGAGCACTCAAACATATGAATTCCTTGTTTACATTCTGAAATTCTGTATTGCCCATTTTGAGTTGTATCTTAATGTTCTTATCTCGGGGCTCTAGGCTAGACTATGAAGTGTTTTTTAAAAAAATTTCTGCAGCAGCTTACACTTTTGCCTGTTCTTGGTTACCTATGCTGGTTAGGGTACAGATGAGTTGTTAGGGTACAGATAATGAAATAGTTGGTTTTTTAAAAATTTTATTGTCTCTTTACTTGGAGTCTTTCTGACACCGATACACTTAAGAAACTCTGAAGTAAAAAAAAAAAGGTTAAAATAATCAAGTTAGTGTGGCTTATTTTTTGCATTGCTTTGGTAGCTACAGAAGTTACCTGTTTTTCAGACAGTTTCAGCCTACTGTTCTTTTTCATACCACTGCTACCATAATTACTGGAAGGCAAATAGTATTTGAGCAATAGTATTTTCAGAGGGAATCATCTTCTAGTGACCTGTAATCAGATTCAGGAATCAGTTGCAAGAAGAATGGCAGATTCTGACTGGAGAAATCATTTTGAAATATTTTCTTTATTTAATTGTGGAACAACCCAGTGTACAATTGCTGAAACCTTTATTAGTGTCAGGAAAAACATCCAACATAATGAATGGAGAAGGGCTGGGAGAAAAACTGTCACTCTTAACACTTCTGATCTCCATCATAGTCAAGATGAAAGCAACACAGAACTCAAGAGGAAGAAACACACATGTTTGAGTACTTGAAAGATAAAGTATTACTCTCCTGTTTACCTGTATTATAAACACTTTAGTAGAGATTAACCAGGCACAATGTCATATTGGAATGCATAATATGTCACTGAATTTTAATAGTTTTACTATTTGCCTTCCATCATAGTGCTCTAATAGATTACATTAGAGTAAGCAGTTCCATTTATTTTTCTTAAAAGCTTCATAATGAAGATGATCCTCCAGAATCATCAGCTGAACAACCATCCACCTCTGTGGAAACTGCACCAGCTATTCAAACAGAGGCATCTTTACCTGAAGTGGATACTTCCCCTCCACCTTATTGTAGCATTGCCGCAGAAGCAGCCGCACCAACAGGTATTGTCTTTCTCATGATTATATAACCAACCCAAGTATTTTTAGCAGTGCTGAAACAGTGCCACCATCTTCTATGCCTTGTTTTGCTGACCTGTTTAAAGAGGCTTTGTTCAGTTCTCTCATTCAGAAGTCAAATGATTTTGTTTCACATATAAATACAAACAAGTTAAATTGGATTTTCATGTAATTAATTTGTCTGATCATGCCTACCTCTCCATGCATGATGAGATTAGCATGTTTTATTTGATTGATGTTGATTAAACTCGGATTATAATCCAATAGGATAATCATCTGATTAAAAAAATTGATTTAATTGATTTAATTTTATATAAGAATAATTACATAGAAAGGAAGTATGTTTTCTTGGTTTTAGGTGATCCATATATGTACATACCATTTTAAAAAGACATGGGTTTCTTGTATGGTAGAAAATGAAAATTGCAACTTCTGAGATTAAACAGTTGAAAACACGTAGCACGCTATCCAAGGTTAGCACAATAAATTAAATATAATTTGTCAAGTAATCAAGGTCAGTTTATAGCAATACAGTTTTCCTTTAGTCTCAAGTGCAGAGGAGCATTTACCTGAACAGATTGTGCTGAATGTATTTTATTTGGCTGCCGAGCTAGCGCCCAGCTTCTG